AAACGATGATCCCGGAACATTTTAAATTAAAAAAAAAAAAAAAAAAGTATAATATTTCTAATATTATTTAAAATTATTAAAAAAAAAAGTTTAGTGTCGGTAAGATATTTTTAATGTTTTTGAAAAAAAAATAATGCTCATTAAGGCTGCATTTATTTGATCAAAAAATATAGTAAAAACAAGTAATATTGTGAAATATTTTTACAATTTAAAATAAGAGTTTTTAAGTATATTAAAAAAAATAATTAATTCCTGTGATGCAAAGCTGAAATTTCAGCATCATTGCTCCAGTCTTCAGGGTCACATGATCCTTCAGAAATCATTCTATTATGCTGATTTTCTTCTCATGAAACACTTCTTACTATTATCAACAGTGTTGGGGAAAGTTACTTTTAAAAGTAATGCATTGTCGAAAACAGTCCTTAATATTTTTGTGGGAACCATAATACATTTTTTCAGGATTCTTTGATAAATAGAGAGTTCAAAACAACAGCATTTATTTGAAAAATAAATCTTTTGTAACATTACAAGTGACTTTACTGTCACTTTTGATTAATTTAATGCATGAAACTTCTTTACAAAAAACATACCAACCCCAAACTTTGAAATGGTATTGCAAATTCAAAATATAAAGTCCCCACTGTATATTTATACTGCCACAGTTTCACTGGTTTCAGTGAGAAATGACGGCAGGTGAATTGCAGAAATTCACCCTGCCTACTTTTACAGACCTCACAGGCGTGATGCTCCTTTAAGAGCAAATCGAATTCCTCCATCAGCCACCAGGCAGAAAAAAACAACAACCCCTCCACTCATTTACAAAGGCATTACATGGATCTCCATCCATTATAAAGGTACATACTCATTCACACAATGGACCCAAGAGTGACCTCTGAAAATAAGGGCTTAGAACACGTGCGTCCATATTCCCTGAAAGATAATGGGATTCCACTTGTCTATCAATTATCATTTTTTTGAGAGAGGGGCCGGAATGGAGCCCTTGAACACAGCTATAAGAGGGATGCGATTTTATAATTAGATTTTGAAGAGATCTTGCGCTCATTGGGCGGCCGGAAAATGCATTTCATGCCTCTCGATAATTGCGGTTCGAGCGACTTGAGTAACTATCAATAAATCATGAGGCCGACTGAAATATTAAACAGGGTGTAAGGTTATACGAATACCTCCGGAAAAGGACGTCAAGCAATAAAGAGGAGCGTTGACTCATCTTTAAATGTAAAATATACTAGTTGTTGCATCCTCATAAACGTTGACGCTTTTTAAAACCACAACTGGTCTTGAACAGGATATAAATGCTTCCGTCCCCTGGAGGGCACAGGGCAATATTCGTTTTGAAAGGCCCGTCATCAAACAACAGCACCAGTTATGAGCAGTTAAACATACAAGGAAGAAGATCGTATTAATTAGGACCCAGCAGGCAGAGTGGTAAACGGTAAATATCCACAGATCTAAAGCACGGGATTGATTTCCTATAGAGTGGAACTTCTGACTGACAACCCAGTACTAGGATGAGGGGACTCTTACAAATGTCACACCCCTCTGATATATTTCCAAACCAGTCGATATTGGATTTCCCCTCAAACCCTTGTCTGTTCATTCAGCTTGTCCTCTAGCAGGAAGAATAAAGCAGCTTCCCATCACAACGGTGAGTAAAGCCACATGCCTCGCGTGCTTCTCAAACCCTTAAATCCACTGCCTTTAAAAATGGCTCTTGGACTAAGAAGTGTGGATACAAAACCTCAGGCTTTCCTTTTATCACCTCACAGAAGCTTCTGGACCATAAAGTAAGCTTCAGAGTTACCTATTTATCAACGATAAATGAGTTGAAAAATGTGTCACTGAAGACGTTTATCAGACATATTCTAATGTTACCAGACATAAGCCCTTTTCACTACTCCTATCAATAAGTACAATACAGAAAAAAAGAGAGGAGAAATGAGATGCGTCAAGGTTTATCAGACTTTACTGACTGTATGAGCACTAGGCCTGAGTAGTATATTAAATACATATCAAATCTTCAATATTTAATATTTCTTTTTGGCAATATAAAATACTGCAAAATTTCACAGCCATTTACCCCCTGGTGTCATTAGGATAGCACTACAACAGATATATTAAATGCAATTTAAAAATTTGTGAGTTTCCATTCATTTTCAGCAAGTCTTTTAAACTACAGTATTAGTTTCAATGAACTGATTAAAAAAAACGTTGTGTTACCATCGAAAAATGTTTCAAACAGTAAGGCATAGTGCAAGCAACGCCAAGGGAATGCATGAACTGATAAAATGATTACCATTAATGCAATGTAAGTCGATTTGGATAAAAGTGTCTGCCAAATGTATAAATGTAAATGTTTTCAAACTACCATTTAAAAGTTTGTTTTTCGAAATAAGTGTTATGCCAACCAAGGCTGCATTTATTTGATCAAAAATGCAGTAAAAACAGCAATTGGTTGAAAGCTGAATAAATAAGCTTTCCATTGATGTATGGTTTGTTAGGATAGGACAATATTTGGCAGAGATACAACTATTTGAAAATCTGGAATCTGAGGGCGCAAAAAAATTAAAATATTGAGAAAATCGTCTTTAAAGTTGTCCAAATGAAGTCCTTAGCATTGCTTATTACCAATCAGAAATTAAGTTTTGATATATTTACGGTAGGAAATTTACAAAATATCTTCATGGAACATGATCTTTACTTAATATCCTAATGATTTTTGGCATAAAAGAAAAAAAACTATAATTTTGACCCATACAATGTGTTGTTGGCTATTGCTACACATATACCCGTGCTACTTATGACTGGTCCAGGGTCACATATATTTTAAGATGTAATTTATTCCTGTGATCAAAGCTGAATTTTCAGCATCATTACTCCAGTCTTCAGTGTCACATGATCCTTCAGAAATCATTCTAATATGCTGATTTGGTGCTGAAGAAACATTTCTTATTATTATCAATGTTGAAAACAGTTGTGCTGCTTAATATTTTTGTGGATTTTCAGGAGTCTTTGATGACTAGAAGGTTCAAAAGAACAGCATTTCTTTGAAATAGAATTTTTGTAACAGTAAAATCCTTAACTGTCGATTTAATGTGTCTCTGCTAAATAAGAGTACTCAATTTTTCTTACTGACGCCAAATTTTCAACAGTAGTGTATATATGGAGATATATATGTAATAATGTAGCTGCATCGCCCAACCTTAATCAGCACTAAAGCTCCACATGTCTAGACCACTAAGCCAGGGCTTCAACAAACAATGGGCCTCATTTACAAAAATAAAATTTCTGTGTAAATCACTCCTAAAACCATTCTGACATGATATTCAAGTCAAAGTGATAATTTACATAAGACTCATTATACAAATTACTTAGCATTTTATTATGCTACTGTTTTATATACAAGTATCGGTCTAATTTTGAGTATGATGGCACAACTTGACCACGTGAGAAAATTGCAAATCGAAATGATCGATTTTCATTTTGTGAGGAGCTTCTTGGAGAGAACAGAAATGATTAGAGCAGCATGTAGTTGGACAGACTGAACTGATGGTCTGGTTTTGGAAGAGGTTTGAACGGCACATACTCCAGCGTCGCCTCCTGAAGCTTCTTGGCCCGAAGTAAAGCTTCATCCCTCTCCTCGTTAGCCAGACGCAGTCTGGCCATCACAGCCTGGTCTCTCTCCCTCTGAGCCTTATAGATTTCCTCGACTAATGCTGAGACAGAGAGAGAGAGAGGTTATTATTCTGGTATTGCACTCCAGAGCTCCAGCTGCACAATAACAAGGCTAAGCTCCTCGGGAAAGAGGTTATTGCAGTTGAAACACTATGGCATAAGTATTAATAACTCTAAGTGAGCCTTATTTTGAGAAGACAGTTTCCCCTGGGGAGGTGTGTGTGTGTGTGTATGTATGCACAAGTGCCCAGAGCAATAAAAACAGCAGCAACACCCTGAAGTCAGAGTTCCAGGCTCTTGGAGACATTTTATTTATGAAATTTCAGCATGGAAACACTCTGGTTTATCAACATTGTACGGGAACAGCGAGCAATTACACCAGGCTCATGGATGTCAGAAACCATCTGAAAAATATCCTCATATAGCAGGACAAACATGACTGTGTTTGACCTACAGGCCTCAGAAGGTTCACGGGCATGCTGACGTATGCATTTCCAAAACAATATTGGAAACGCAGGCCCCTGGTGAATGAATTAACTAATTAATGAACTAATGAACGAACAAACAAGCAAATGAACAAATGAACAATGAATGGGTCCATGGGCATACTGACGACTCTCCAAGAATCTCCAAGCAACACTGGAGACAAAGACCGCTAGAAAATATAAATGACTGAATTAATGAACAAACACACAACCAAATAATGACAATGAATGAATGAATGAATGAATGAACGAACAATATATTATGGCAAAACAATATTGACTGCTAGCAAATATAAATGACTCAACGAATGAACAAACGAACGAACTAATGCAAAGGAATAAATGAATGAATAAATGAACAAATAAATAAACTAAACTAACAAATAAAACAAGTAAAAATGAACCATGAAACAATTTCCAAAGCATAATTATGAATAAAAACCACTAGCAAATATAAATGACTGACTGACCAAACAAACAAACGAACAAACAAACACAAAGAAATGAATGAATGAATTAACCATTGAACAAATAATATAAATAAACTAACAAATGAACCAATAGAAGTATCCATGAGTCAATTTCCAATGCATTGTTACCCACAAAGGCCACTAGCAAATATAAATGACTGAACAAACATACAAACAAACAACTGAATGAATGAATGCAAAGAAATGAACCAATAAATAAATAAACGGATGAACTAACAAGCTAAATGATCTATGAACCAATTTCCAAAACCTTATAACACACAAAGGCTGCTAGCAAATATAAATGACTGACTGAGCGAACAAATGAACAAACAAACATGTGAATGAATGAACAAATGATCCATGATCCAATTTGCTAAGCATTATTTCACACCAAGGCCACAAGCCAATATGAATGAAGAAATAAAGGAATTGATGAATTAAAATGGACAAAGGACAGATGAATGAACAAAATAACAAGACAAACAAACAAAGAAGGTACGGAGAAATGCTTGAATGAAAACAAAATAAATAAATTTTAATAAAATTATTAAAATTATTAATAAAATAAAACAAGCAAAGTTTATTCCAACTAAGAGAGTTTTGATTAAAATTTGCTGATTTTGATTCACGCACCCGACCTGACCTGCACCAAACTCAAAAATCAAGCAGACAATTTGGTAAAATCCACAGGATTTTGGCATTACCAAACGGTCCTTGGCACCATCTCTAATCCCACCGAAAGCGGCACTGTTATCCATCACTCGCATCAATTCTTTCCTGCATGTTACGATAAACAGTCATTCCCACACTAAGCCACTACAAAGTTCACAAAGCAAATCAATATTGCTGGAATTTGCTGATTAAACATCTCCCACCCGAACTATACAAATCATATTGAAATGAGGGCGGCGAATACATGCATTATCATCGCCTTATTAAATGAACAATTTGGCTGCCCAATTGCGTGTCATATATGTCACGTGTCACATATTTCCGTTTAATGAACAAACTGTGAGATGGCGCTTTTTAGCTAGTTAAGTTCAAGCGAAAAGTGAATATTGGCTAAATTTAAATATTTGTTCAGCAAAGGTGAGGAGCGTGTACATTTCATCGACAAAATAATCAGTTACAGAGAGGAACGATCACTTCTGATGAGGGCGCTTTATGTTAGACATACTGGTTTATGTTTACAAATGTCAAAGTGTGCTTTTCTCGGGTTCTGCGGACATGTACTAACTAATTAATTAAAAGTGTTTATTCTTCAGCTGTGTTGGAAGGTCAGACGTTTGCATTTAGAGATCTATGCAATGTCACACCTCATACTAAACACGTAAAAGGGTATGTACTGCCATATTAAATGAGTTGACTTATTCTTTATTCCTTTTAACCATATAAACATCCATCTTTTCACCCATGCATCCTACCTGCTGCTCTCTCACTGGCATGTGCCTCCAGCTCGGCCCTTTTATTTTGGATGCGATTAATCGTTTGACAGCACTAATTTGAATACATCAGCAGTTGAATTTTCAGCATCATTACTCAAGTCTTCAATGCCACATGATCCTTCATAAATCATTCTAATATGCTGATTTGACACTCTTTCTTATTATCAGTGTTGAAAATAGTTATGCTGCTTAATATTTCTTTGGAAACAGACACATTTTTTTCAGGATTCTCTAATTAACAGAACGTTCAAAAGAACAGAATCGTTTGAAATCTTTTGTAACAATTTTGTAGCAATATTTTACTGTCACTTTTGATCAATTTTATGTGTTCTTGCTGAATAAAAGTTTTAATTTCTTTATTAAAAAAAAACTCACCCCAAGTAAAACACTGTAATGGTTCTAAAATAAATAGGCTTAATTTTCTTTATGCAGAAAATAGGTTTTTAGGTGAATTATGCTCTGAATTCCATATATTGGCCACACTTTCACTGAAAAACTCATATCAGCCAACCACAACTTTATAACCCCTGCATCAAGCTTTTGTATTTGCACCACTACATCATATAATTCAGGACTTCTTATAAAAAAAGAGGAACTGTCATGTCTTGGCTGTAAATCTGGACTGGTGAGTGATATTTTACGACTACGAGCCTCTCAATGATAGATTTAACCTCCTGTCTTAAATATTTTCATCCCGTTTGTTTTTGTCCTCCCGGACTTTGAAAACATGACGGGGTTGGGCCAGAGTCCTCAAAGGGCTCTCTCAGATCACTGCCAGCAAAAACACACTCTTGGGATATGTTCCTGCCCCTCTGTCAAGAATCACAACTACTTGCAAACCGGGGACATCAATTACAGTCGTTTCCCCCTTCTCCGACCCCTCAAACGACACGTCTCCAGATGGGTGCAGATATGCCACATACACTGACTAACACAATTTCAAGACTCTAGTCCTATGCCCTGAAAGAACAATGATGGAGCAAGAATATATATAAAACCGAATGTAATGCAGTTTACTAAAGGTCCTCTTAGATTTCAATCCCTTCCCAGCCATATAGTGATAAAAGACGTATAGTGATCACTTTTTACAACGCAATCAACTCGTGATGGATTAAACCAAATCCTGCCATCACATTACAGAAGTAAAATGGATTGTAAGTACAAACTTCACAGACAACTTGGTCACTAAACACTTAATTTTCAAGTACTGCACTACTACAGAACTCACTGTTACCATGGAAACATAAATTGTTGCAATCAGCACAGCATTGAGTTTTTTTCAACCCAATGCCGACTAGCTTGGCAACATGTGCTAACAAAAGCTAGCTACCTACTCAAAGTTAATATGGGATGTATAGTTAAGAGTATGAAGGACACTAGTGCCATTAGATAATAAGACGGCAGATTGAGTGTGAACTGCAACAGTATGTCAATATTTGCAAACTTAAGCAGAGCTGCTAGGAAAGGCACATATGAAATAATTTTAGCAAAATGAGTTATGACGTGTATCTAAGTCCAGCCTGTGTTCATGTAGCAAAAAGGAAACAAATGAATTGCACAATCCTGTCTGACATGGAATTTCCAAATTATAAGTCTATGTGGCTGTTGCAATTTTTAGGTTAAATGAAATATGTTGAAAACATTTCATGAAGCGCAAGACTAACAAGAAGGTCAGACGTTTGCATTTAGAGATCTATGCAATGTCACACCTCATACTAAACACGTAAAAAGGTAAATGCTGCCATATTAAATGAGTTGACTTATTCTTTATTCCTTTTAACCATATAAACATCCATCTTTTCACCCATGCATCCTACCTGCTGCTCTCTCACTGGCATGTGCCTCCAGCTCGGCCTCCTGTAGCTGTGAGTCCAGAAGCTTGGTTTCCAACTCCTTCTCCTTCAGCGCCAACTTCTCCTGGAGCTGTAGACACACACAAGACATAAGTAGATCTTTATAACTTTATTCACACTGAACAAAATAAAAAAAACAAAAAAAAAAACAAACCTGCTTGGTAGATGAACACTAATTTGTGTTATTTCCACAGTCTACCAAAAACTGTAAATTTATCATTTTTTGCATGAAACTGCATAAAATTTCAGGTTGTATTTCACCCAAAAATCAAAAAATATACACTACTGTTCAAAAGTTTGGAGTTGGTAAGATTTTCTTATGCTTACCAAGGCTGCATTTGGTCAAAAATACAGTAAAACAGCAATACTATAAAATATTATTAAAATAAAAAAATGTTTTCTATTTGAATTAGTGCTGTCAAACGATTAATCGCGATTAATCGCTGATTGAATGAGCAGATTACAAAACAAGCCAGGGTAGTGTCATGTTTAATTTTTGACAGGAATGAAAACGAGGCTGTGAGGGGTAGAAGCAGTGGTGTATAAAGTACCTGAAAGCCATACTCAAGTAAAAGTACAGATATCTTACCAGAAAATGACTTTGGTAGAAGTTGAAGTCACCGTTTAAAATATTACTTGACTAAAAGTCTTAAAGTATGTGATATTTATTGTACTTAAGTACAAAAAGTTTTTTTTAAAATCTTAAACGTACTTAAGTATTGAAAGTAAAAGTACAAGTAAATGCAAAATGGAAAAGAAGCAAACAAATAATAAACGGATATATAATAAATATATATAAAATGAACCGATTCGTTCAAAAAGCTGATTCATTCAATAAGTAAACACCGTCCATTGCTCAGAGACACAAAACAGTGATGTGATCTTTGTTTGGAACTATTTTCGTTGGCAAAATTGAGCAAAAACAAGCAGTATTATGTCTAAAATGTAAGTCACTTACTGCTTTACTGAACTTGTCTAAAATGATTATTAAATGTGTTCATGCTGATATCTGCAGAAAAACGGTACTCTTTGTGTGATATAGATTAAGTTAACTATATTAAATGATATAAATATAAAAAAGCATTCAGAAGCATTTTTGCCGTCTACAATTTAGAATGCCTGGAATTTTTAGTTTTAATAAACTTATAAATCAACGTGCGTGCACTCTGTTTGTGATTTGGTGACTTGATAATGTCAGATCGCACATCATTACAACAACACTTGCCATATTATCGCAGACAATGCTGTATCGCACACCCCAGACTCGACTTGAATGGAAAATGAATCATCCGCGGTTGTGCGCGCACTTGTTTGCACATGAGCAAAGGTGTTTTTAGGAGTCTAACTTGCAAACGCCAGACCACTGATTCGTCAAACCTGCTTTCCTGCAGTCAGTGTTCTTCTGACTTCTGACTATTTTGTAGTAAGTAACGAATATGCTTCAGGGAAATGTATCGGAGTAAAAGTATACATTTTAATTAGGAAATGTAGTGGAGTAAAAGTAAAAGTTGGCTGAAATATAAAAACTCAAGTAAAGTACAGATACTCCCAAAAAATACTTAAGTACTGTAACGAAGTATTACTTCGTTAAAGTATTACTTCGTTACATTACACCACTGGGTAGAAGTAGTGCGTTTAATGGATTGTACTGTTGTTTAACAACATTGTTCAGCTGATGAAATGTCTTCCCAAAAAAAAAAACAACTTCCAGTAGTCAAAACTTCATAAAACAGTTTTGAAAGTACAAGTACAAGACTGTAAGTCTATCCCTCACAGCCTCGTTTTCATCTGTGTTAAGTTCAACATGGCATCTAACCTGATTAAGGTCTATTAGGCCCAGAATGACTGACTTCATGAACTTCTTAACATGTAAATTCACCTTCTTATTGAGGTCTCTAAGGGAGTCCAGCTCCTTTAAGAGAAAGGCAATGTTTTTCTCTTTATCCAGAACTGGTACTTGCTTTCTGGAGTCGCTGATAACTTTGGAATTTCCCTGGTCCTCGTGAGCATGAGCATGCCTTCAGAAAAGACAAAAGTTCATTAGAAACGCTCGTACATTAGACTCCCAAACGGGCAACAAAAAATGAATCATTCACATTCTGACATGCAATTATCAAATACACAAGGGATGCGGTCCATGACAACAATGAAGCACTATCATTGCTTAATAGTTACGTACTGATTTCCATACTATTTTTTTTAAATAGTACACAGTATGCAGTATGGTAGTATTCCATTTTGAACATAGGAGAATTGTTTCAAGTCAATGGGAAAAATAAAAGTAAGGTAACACTTTATTTTAAGGTGTTCTTGTTACACAACTTAAATGTATAATTATACTGTAACAAGGACACCCTTTAAAATAAAGTGTAACCAAAATAAAAGTAAAAACACAAAGGCTGAGGCTAAAAAAGCTGCAAACTAAAATTAGAATGAACTTTTCAGCCCTAATAATAATTGGATTTTGATTACTCAGTGTAAGTAAGTCTCTCTGTTCTCCTGACCTGAGCGTGGCAGACCCTGCCCCGCTGACGCGAGGTGTGTGGACCGGACTGCTGGCTGTCTCGTTAATATCCTGCTCCTGCTGTGCTGCGGGTCTCTGTGGAGACCGTCTTTCCTCCTCCATGATTCTCACTTCAGCTGCAACTGGGCCTGGCACGGGTGGGGGTGGAGGGAGTCTGAGCGTCAAACCTTCTCTGGGCCTGGGGGTCTTAGATACTGTGCCAAAAAATAGAGTAAGAATATGTAAGAGCCATATAGTACCACCAGGTGCTGGTATGCTCCAAAAATGACAAAAATTGCACTGTATTACTATTACCAAATTATGTCTAAATCAAAGTTGGCCTGTGTTGACCACTGATTTGACCTGACATGCAACATCACAGGAGAAGGGGAAAATGTCAAACATATTTTTCATTTCTAACGTTTTTTTGTTTTTTTTTTGCATTGAAATGTAAAGAATTTAATCTATTTTTAATATAATATTATATAAAATTTATTTTCATCTCTTGATCAACTAAATCTAAATCAACTTTTTGTTTATTTGTTGTAGACAATTTGATTGCCTCTGATTATTACTATTATTATACCATGGCTTTATGTGAAGAACAAAGTGAAATTAAATGTCATTCACTGTAAATCTTCTTCACCACTACCACTGCTCTCAAATCTCATTTATGTAATTCATATATGTGCATATATAAATTAGGCATACTGGTTATGAGACACTTGAGAACAAAAGATATTTGGGGTTATTTACTTCAAATCTGGTATGAGATTTTTTTTGAAATGCCATATTTGATGTAAACATGCGAGAACTGCAGTTAAGGAAAGATTATCACTGAAAAACGACTTAAAATTCAGCCTTTTACTCATAAAATGACGTGATATTAAGATTTTATGGAGCTTTTAGTCATTTTTGGATCAGACTCTGGTCACTACTGACATTCCTTATAAGGAAAAGAGCATAAGAAAGAAAGAAAGAAAAACATAAAGGTTTGCAGAAATTATTTTTGGGTGAACAATTCTTTCCAAATTTGAATTCTTTTATCTCCACAATTACAAGCTAGTGAAAAAATAGTTACTGTTTTCAAACAGGTTTTCCTTGGTCTGCTAAACAGATGATCCAATGCTATTGGTTGAGTCAATGTTGGAATGTTCAAACAAATAGAGCATGTTTCAAAAGCACCACACTGTTTACACTATTCAGTGACATCAACCTAAAGCTGACTCTGCATATTAAAAAAAAAAGTATTTTAGCATCCAGAAAAAGCTTTAGGAGCTAAATGAAAAGGAAAACCCACAAGAAAGACGTTGCAACCATAACATATAAGACTTCCATTCTTCTGCTGGGAGATTACAGTCTGACGGTTTGAAAGGCAGCTCTGTTGGTTGGTTTGCATCAGCTCTCTGAAAAGGAAACTAGGTCTGGCCGTCTTTCACGAGGGAATGTGGCGATCCGTGCCGAGTGACTGGCAGGAGGGGGAAAACGAGGTCTTCTGTCAATGTTTCTGTAGCGCTCAGGGCCAGAGATGCAGGCGGAGAGGCAAACACAGAGGCCTGTCTCTCTGGCAGCCTTTCTGAAAACGTGCTTTGCTCCTCAGGGAAAGCTGGATGTAGCCCGGATCGTTTGTGATCAAAACCAAAGTGTGACGGCCCTTGAATCAGAGATATTTAAACGAGTGCAAATTTGTGATGACAAAACTAGTGAAGATAGAGACTTGAAAGATACAACGAAGGTTGAAATTGTGAGAAGCAGAGGGTGTTCAAACTACTTCTAAAGTTAAAATGCATCATTTGTAGTTAAAAATTATGTTTTTCAAACAGGTTTCCTGAATTCATCTTCCATTGGCCTGCCAAACAGATAGTCCCTCCCTCAAATTCACGCTATTGGTTGAGTGTTGCTGGGTGGGGCTGGTCGGGATGCTCAACAAACAGAGCAATGTTTTGATAACGCCACAAAGCCACAATGTTTACACATTTCAGTGGAATCAACCTACAAAAAAAATGACACACTTCAGCTTTAACATCTACAAGCAAATTAAACAGATAGTAGCGCTAAGTGCATGCACAGGGTCAAGTGCTTCACAAAAAAGCCGCCTGGCTGTCCTGCGATTATAAAATATACATAAATCAGTTCAACATCAATGCAATTCAAATTGAGCAAAACTCAAACACACAGTGCTTAAATCAAAAGCATCAAAAAAAAAGGGGGAATCATTCTGCGTTAATAAATGCGTTGTGATGCTCGACTCTTGCGACAACGATGCCCAAAAAGCTCCAGCTTAGCCGCCACAATTATTTAGCGAAAGGTCAGGTTTTGAAGTCGAGATCAGGGAGGTCTGCCTCATGGCTTTGTTGCTAGGGCTCTGCTCTCAGGATTGCTGGAGACAGTTATTAGTATTCCCCGTAAGACTCAACCGTGCAAACACCAAATTCAAACCATGAATAATAACGCCAAACACACTTTATAGAAGCCCTTTGTCACACTGCAAATATGCGACTTTTGGATACATTGTTCCCTAACCTGGGTTACTTCTTTAATTTTATCTCCCTCTCCGGGTGTCTCTCACAAAGGTAACTGCCCCTGAGAATGTGTGTTTAAAGCACCATTTCCCTCACAAATGGGGTGAACGTAGCTTTTAATCTAAGCGTGCAAAGTAAAGGCCCATTTCCTATGGGAACCAAGTGAAAAAGGACTCAACATTAAAAGCAAATTCAGAAATGAAGAATTGGCTCCCTTTCAATTGATGAGTGTGAATTTGAATTGAATTGGCCGCAAACCACATGCTATTGGATTGAATGACAGGAAAAGTAATTTACTGAATTGTAATTCAAAGAAACTCAACAGAGTTATACAACAGTTGACCTACATTCGTCCACCACAACAACAAAACTGTCAAGAAAAGATAACTTGGATGTTCAATTTGAAGTTTCCATTTTATACGCTTTTTGGCTCCATTTTAAATACTTTTAATTAGAGCATTTTGAGTAATTAAGTCTTTTTCCACAGTGGTCCATAAAACATAATAATATTATATGTATTAAATATTGAACTACATTAAAAAATATAAATAAATGTAAAAATCATTAAATATAATATCAATTATTAAGCAGAAAATTTAAATAAATTAAAAATTAAAAATCAAACATTGATTTAAAAACAGTTTGAATTGTGCTATTTGAATTCTACATCCTGTTTGCTGCCTCAATTCAAATCCAATTCAAATTCAGGAAAGCAATTGCCATTTAAAAAGTATTCTTAATTCAAATCTAAATGATTTATCATTTATCACCATGAAAAGACATTTTATGTAATAAATGGGGCAAAAAATGACCAGACATGACCATTTCCTCCATTGATTCTAACAATGGTTTTGTGCCATCTTACTAATGTCTGTCACTAATAATCAAACACAGGCTGATTAACCGCCTGCAAAAAGATTGAAGTGTTTCACCAACAGCCCAAATGTATATTTGAGCAGCGAGGCAGAATAAATTTGCATATCAGGAGCGTCTGGTGAAGGGTCGGTAAATACTCTGTTTATCTCTCATTGTCATTCCAACCAGTCTATCCAAATAGTGGCTCTTCTACAGCGTTATGGCCTAGGTAAAGTTATTACGCAGCAGCCCGGTATTATTGAATAATGTAAATAAATGTTTATGTAGATAAACGAATAAATAAATAAATACATGTAAATAACTGTTAATGTACTATATTGAGCATTTAGACATCGGGAAGCCTGTAAAACAACTCTTTATTCATAAAAACAGACTCATTCTGGCAAAAATGCAGGAGGAAATGGTTGCAGCATAAATAGTAAACAAATGAGGCAAGAGCCTTATATAACTAAAATAACACAATTATCTTTTTAATACGATTTTTATTTTTTGTTGTGATTTGATAGCAATTATCATGTATAATTTATTACCTTCTGTGAGTTTCTCCTCCAGGGCTTTTGATAAACTCTGACATTGGGATGTAGCGGAGGTAGTTTCAACTAAAGAGGATCTGAAAAAAAAAAAAAATGTGTGTGAAATGTATAAATATGCAAAACAAAAATATAAAACCAACACTATTTTGTCTCCTTCGATATCTAACAGCAGTGCACTTTGTCTGACACACTCAGGTGAAGACAGGTACAGGATATTGACAAACTGTACATCAATGCCACTGCTTTGAAGGACCTGCATGTTTTGTTTCAAAGCGCTGAGTAAAGCGAGGACATGAAGCAAATATCAAAGACCTTCAAGAGTTCTGACCCTAAGAGGACAGAGTTAACTCTTTTTACAAGTTGTATTCTTTTGCAATGAAATGAAATGTGAAAATATAGCCAAAATGTACTTTAAACACATTGCAAACTGAGCTAATTCATCATTTCAGTATACAAAATGCATACTTCCAAAAAACACACAGAATTCTAGTTTAAAAAGTATAAAGCAAATGCATTGCATTCCTTTGTCATAAATAATAACTTAACTACAAGTTTAAATCATAAACTAAGCCAATTCAATAATGCTTTAAAATAATTAACATAACATTTTTCATTGCATGCATTTTCTGCACAAACATTTCACCTGTAACCAGATTACATTTGCATCGCACTAAAGATAAGCAGCTGATTTTTAAACATTGTAACACCGTTTTGGATTTAGAAAACACATCTCTGCAAAGATATCATTACAGCGTGTAATCATCGCCTGCAATGTACACTGATAAACATTTCGCACATATTAAAAAATCGTTCTTAATTGTAACACCTGGAAGAAAGCCATTGACAAACAGTGTAAAATGAGCCGAGGAAGGCATCTTTACCCAAGTTGTGGTGTGGTCTCTGAACAATGGTGCTTTACAGGGGACGGCAGCCTTTGTTTCAGTTCTTCATTGACTTTAGGATTAGCTGGAAATATATAGAAGGGATATGATTAATTTCATTGCGAAAAAAAAAAAATGCTTTTCATCACAGGCTCTAGCTCACTCCTTTCCATTAGACTTAGAAAGGTTAGTATTAATTACAGCCTGTCAATATGATCTCGGGGTGCTTGGTGGAGAGCAATCTTTAATAACGTCTGGAGTAGAGGCAGAAAACAAGACAGGCGGCTTTTAATTTGCTGTGTGAAATTATGCTTTAAGACTTTGTCTTTATCTCATCCACTGTGTACCAGTGCTTTACCTCGCAGTTTATGGAGGACTAATGAACGCGGGCAATTAACAAAGCGTAATCCCACCATGCAATCGTTTTAATGCTTTTAGCTATCAGAAAAGTAAACAGCCATTTAATACAGCTCAAGCCATATCAGATCCTAGTCAGGAAGCGCCAATTAAAGCGTCATCTACTCAGGTGTAATTAAATAATGGTGGATAATTTAACGGAAGCTAATTCATAAGCAAGCAACAAACAGACAGGAGGCAATTAGCAGGAACGCTGACATTCAGACGGCAGAGCCTGTTGATCGCTGGCGGTAGGAGCCGTGGTGGAGAGGTTCCCTCTAGTGGTGGAGCTTCTGAGACAAGAACTTCTTAACACAACACACACACCGGGGGCTTACAAACGTAAACACTTGCCATTTCAGTTCTGTCAACTGTAGGTGCTCTGCGGTGTCACATTTACAAACCAAATGAACACGGAACGTCTTCAAGAAAGGGTCGGACTGAACCTGGCAAACACAGAATGTTTCCCTCGTGTTTCCTGGTCGGTTATTTTTTGGGGAACCACTTTGGTTAGGAAAACCTTAATAGGTCACAAATGTCTTCTAAAGGATTCCCACTTCCCACACCACTAGGATTTTCAACATTAAGGATTTGTACTTCCAAAGAGCAATTTCTAGCCAAAGCAATAATTTAGAGCCTAAAAAACTGTGTCCCTGAACACTTGGTATTTTATTCATTCATACGGCATTTCTAATCGTAAAAATGACTTAAAATTTCCAAAGCTCTCCTAGATTTAAAGAATTTGTGCTTCACGAATCTCTTAAGCATTATCAATTTTCTGTCCTGAACTGCTCATTGTCTACTAAAAAACGTACGAAATCATTGAATTGATACATTTCATTTCCTGTGCTGGGGTCAGAAATATTTGTGTTTGGAAGAAATTAGTGGATGCATTAAATTGATGAAAAGTGACTATAAAAACATTTATGTTGTTAAAATAGATTTCCATTTCAATAAATGCTGTTCTTCTGAACCTTCTATTCAAAAAAGAAAAAAAGTTTCCATAAATATAACTGTTCAGAAAATCCTGAGCAGCAAATCATCATATTAGAATGATTTCTGAAGGATCATGTGACACTGAAATCCAGAGTAATGGCTGTAGAAAATTCAGCTTTGCATCACAGGAATAAATTACATTTTAAAATATAATAAAAAAGAAAACACTGATTTTAAATTGAAAAATTCTTTTTTACAATACTGTTTTACTGTATATTTAACAAATGCAGTGTTTGTGAGCTTAAGAATTTTTTTTCAAAAACATCTTTTGAACAGTGTCGTTTTTTTAAACTGCTAATTTGTTAATTGGATCAACTTTTAGAAGCACACTACCAAAGCACATAAATGACCACAAAGCTAAAAGAGTGTAGAACATGTGTTTTGTAGAACAGAGTGTTTTCACTAAAAAGGAAAAAAAAAAACATGTTTTTAAGAACTGTTCACTAAAAGTCAACCTAAATTGAAACCCAAAATGGCACTCTATGGCATCGCTGTGAAACCCCCCTTTTGGAACTTTTATTTTTAAGAGTGAAAAACCCAACTATTTTAAATTCCCAGCATCCCTGAAGATGGTATGTAAAAAGCATCCTTGAAGATGGTATATGTAAAAACCACAGGACAAACAATGATCAGGTTCTTGGGAAAAGAAAACAAAGGTCATGAAAACGATAGAGGGGACGGCGGACACCATGAGAGAAAGTTGGCAGAAGAGAGCTAAGAAGACATAAAAAGTGAGTGCTCTTGGGAGGTTGTGCGCGAGGCGGGTGGGGGTGACCCCTGGGGCAGATGCCAGTGGAACGTTATCCCCGCGCTGTAAGCCAGCACACACAGCTCACACGCTATTCAGCTCAGACACAGTCAGGCGTGAACGGACAACTGGCTTTTTGTGGCAAACACCACAGGGCTCCATTAATCTCAGTGATAGACTCTGAGCGGGAGCTGGCCCCGCACACCGCACTTTCACAGAGAAAGAGAGGAGGACGAGGATGAAGAAAGACTTTAAAGATAGTAGGTACGGCTAAGACGCCTGGTAATCCGTTAACACTAACAAGAGAAAGCAGCTTTGGAAAAGATAGAAAGGGGGAAAAAAACAACGCAAAGCATACAAACCTGACCTTATGATGTTCACGTAATTTTCGGAGATAGACACGTTATACAGTTCCCAGAAAAGAGCGCTTTACCAAATAAATTTGGGACGATTCATTGATTGACACCGTTTCCTGAGAGAATCACCCCCAAGAAACTTAATGAAACTGATACTATCCAATAATCCGATATTGAAAAACAGGGAAGAGCTCGTTCTGGCTTAATGAAAGTTTGTGCTGAGTGCAATAGGAGGCCGGTTTCTTTGCGGCTCCCGCTCCAGATGGTGAATTAGCATCGCATCTACATTTTCTACATAATCTGCAGGAGTTTCATGATAGATTAATGAGCTATTAGCCTTGGTGCTCGCAGGGCAGTGACGAAAACTACATTCACGCCAAAGCTTGCAGAGTGTAACATGTTACAATGAAGCCAATAACCAGTCGTTGTGTATAAACAGTGGCTCCACGGCTAGTTGAGGAGTTGATTCAAATCAAATCATAGTTTAATCGTAGTTTATTCCTCTGAATTAAATGCTCAAATAATTACATAAATCACAAACCTTATAGTTAAACTGTTAAAAGTACCAAAATTGCAGTTAAAGGCCACTAATTGAATTAAAGTGTGTGAATTTTTTGAATGTTAAAATACTTTGTTTTATTCCAGCTTCATATCCAGAAACTGTAAGATATTCCTAAGTTGCCCAAAAAATTGAAATATTAAGGCATACAGTAGCACTGTCTCAACCAATGGTGGGAGCTTAGAGCGGAACTATCTGTTTGACCGGCCAATGGCAGACAGAAAGAGTTTTTGGGAAACCTCTTTGAAAACAGTTAGCCTACATAAAAACATATATATATATATATTGCAATTTGATTTTATATGTAAAAAGATACATACATGTATACACTATTATATATATATATATATATATATATATATATATATACTATTCTTTTCTTATTTTACTATATTGTGTTAATTACAATGTGAAAATGTGAAAGCCTGTTAGAGCCATTTAAAAACATATCTGTCATATCATGTGAAAAAGACACAAAAGAGGAAGCTTTTCAGATTTTACTATCATTTCCTTCAGATAATGTTGAATATTTCATCCATATTCGTTCACAGGGATAAAACGTGAGTAAATAACGGAACATTAATAGGTTAGAAGCCCGCATCAACTGTAAAAGATGGCTCAAATCTTACAAAACAGCATTTGCCACTTAAAGCCACTTTATCCTTCCTTCAAACTTTTCTCATTTCAATTTGTCCTTTGCTGTCGCTCAGTGATCTTCATTTTCCTGTCTTGTAGACTTTAAGCTAATTGCCTCGGTGGGCTACTTATTATTCATGTACAATTATTGCAGTGTAATGTCTTTAAATCCTTTTAAATGACCATTCATGCGTCGCATTCATTGAAAATGCCTTTGATGTCTGTCAAAGATGGAATTCTTCAAAAAGAAATGTCTAAGCCTAATTTCAATCGCTCGATGAGGGGGGTTTGGCGTTTCCCTCTAATATAAACTAAATTCCATTAATTTTTTAAGCTGCATTTAATGCATTTCCTCCGCAAAAAGTTTCCAGATTCTTCAGGCTGTCATTTGTATTCCAGCTGACTTTATGAATATTAATAACAGTGTTATCCTGATTAAACGGGCTTCATGCGAAATCCCCGTGAATCTACGAGCTCAGGATTCTCGTCTTACCGAATCTTTATGAATTTTGATACGGACATTAATGTGGAGAGAGTCTTAAAGCAGGTTTAATTGTACAGCATGCTTGTGCCTCCGAAGGAAAAAGGCAGACATGAATTGATTTGATATGGATAAACAGGCTCTTTTATATGGGGAGGTGTGCACAAGCACCTGGGTGCACCCCGCTGTGTAATTTGATTGTCACGGGCTGTCGTGAAGCTTTGAATGGTCTTGACTTTTCCTGGCTCAAAAGACTTTATTGACTCGCTGACAGATATTAACAATAGAAACTGTTTTTGTCAATCAGTTACATGTGCTGTGAGCTGATTCTATCTCACTGGAGGGCTGGTATTTGTTTCCTTTTTCCATCTGTTAATGCCGATAAGTGAAAACTGTTTCTGACTCAAAAATAACTGCAACTGAATGAACAGGAATGAAGACAAAACAACAACTTGACTTTAAAAAGCTGCAAAAGTTAAACATTAAAAGCAAACTATATAAAGTAAGAGAGCACTACTGAAAATGATTCTATTATGATTTTTTTTCTCATAAATAAACACAAAAATTAAATCAATTATTTATCAAATGCAATTAATAAATATTTTATATAAATTAATTTAAATTAATAATAATTAATTAATTAACTGTTGAACTGAAAAATGTACATATTTTGACAATGTCGTATTATTAGGCATGTTCCACTTGAGCTGACATAAACTCAATGTGGTCTCAGATAAACAGCATAAATTAATAACAAAACAAAATGAATATAATAACTTGCTATTTATTAATATTAATTTTTGTATTTATTTACGGGGTGTCAGTCTTCAAATCTAGACCAAGGTACTATACCCAACTATAAGAGAGTATTTATAATTCAGACAGTAAAAATGAAAGTTAATGATTCTTCAAA